TGATGGGTATTAATGACCATTGATTGTTAATTCTTGTTTGTTTTGGATTTCTTTTTGGTGGTGGTATTGTGTGTGGATTCCCCCCAACCTTTTTTTTTTCTTTTGACTTTTGGTAAAGTGTGATTATCTATTGCCTATGTTTTTGTGAGTGTAGTTAACTTCCTTGGGTTGGAGTTTTCCTTCCAGAACATTCTGTAGGGCTGGATTTGTGGATATGTATTGTGTAAATCAGGTTTTGTCATAGAATATCTTGTTTTCTCCATCCATAACCATTGAAAGTTTTGCTGGTATGGTAGTCTGGGCTGGTATCCATGATCTCTTAGTGTTGGTACAATTATCTATTCAGGACCTTCTGACTTTCAGAGTTTTCATGGAGAAGTCAGGTGTTATTCTGATAGGTTTGTCTTTATATGTTACTTGGCCTTTTACCTTTGCTGCTCTTAATATTTTTTCTTTATTTTGTATGTTTGGGGGTTTTATTATTATGTCGCAAGGGGACTGTTTTTTTGTGGTCCAGTCTATTTGATGTTCTGTAAGCTTCTTGTACTTTCATTGGCATGACTTTCTTTAGGTTGGAAAAGATTTCTTCTATAATTTTGTTGAATATGTTTTCTGCCTCTTTGAGGTGGGTTTCTTCACCTTCTTCTATTCCTATTATTCTTAGGTTTGGTCTTTTCACAGTGTCCCATATTTCCTGGATACTTTATGTTAGGTATTTGTTAAACATAAGATTTTCTTTGGTCAATGAATCTATTTTTCTTAGTGTATCTTCAATGTCTGAGATCACTCTCCCATCTCTTGTATTCTGTTGGTTTTACTTGCATCTGTAGTTCCTGATCATTTACCCAGCTTTTTTTATTTCTAGCATTCCCTCAATTTGTGTTTTCTTTATTGTCTCTATTTCAGTTTTCAGGTCTTAAACTGCTTCTTTCATCGGTTTGTTTGTTTTTCCTTGGCTTTCTTTAAGAGATTTGTTGATTTCTTATATTCTTCAGTTTGTATTTTCTTCCATTTCTCTAAGGGATTTTCTCATATCCTCTTTGAGGGCTTCTATCATTTTCTTGAAGTTGTTTTTAAGGTCATTCTCTTCTGCTTCATCTGCATTGGGATGTTCAGGTACTGCTGGTGTAGAGTCCCTAGACCCTGGTGGTATCATATTGGTTTTTCTGTTGTTGAATGTGTTTTTATATTGTCTTCTTCCCATTCCTTCTTCCAGTGGGTGCAGGAGGAGTCTCTTCTTCTCCTGGTGGGCATGGGTTCAAGGTTCCCTTCTGGTGGGTGCAAGCAGGTCCAATACTCTTATGGTTCTCCTCTTCCCGTGCGTGGAGGTGCAACTAGTACTGGGGACTGGCAGATTGGCTGGGCTCAACTGCCAGGATGGGAACCCCAGTGTGCAGTCCCCAGACCTCAGGCATCTCCGAGTAGGGCACTGGAAGGTAGGCCATTGTCTTGATATTTTTGTTGTTGTTGCTGTTGGTTTTTTATTTTATTTTTTGAAACATTTTTATTGTATATTTAAATTAGAAGCAAGCTTACTTGAGGCTCCAAATGACACTGTAATGATAAGTGACACACTTAATGAAAGTAAAACTAAGTATTTATTGTAGAAATTACTCACAAGATACCAAACAAGTAACCCAGATGAGCCAAGTAGTCCCCCCCCCGCTGCCGAACTGGAAGCCAAACTCTGGGAAAAGAGACCAAGACTTCCTGTGTGCTGTCTTTTATGCCTTCCCCTGTAATGCCCCCTAGCCATGCACAACAGTGGGCCTGGCTAGTGACATAGTTCACCACCTACGTACATATACGTCTTTACGTCCGGCCGTATACGTCTTTAGTCATGCCTAAAGTGGGTGTGGTTAGCAGTGTGGTAAACCGCCCTTTTATTACCTCATCTGTATGCGCCTCTAGTAAGTCACATGGTTAATGGCAGCATACAAGCTTCCTCCTACACTTACTTCCCATGTCAGTTCCAGCTTCCTCTTCTTCCCCTCCATACCCGCTTCTCCCCACCAGCCCTCCCCAGCCCCCCACCCAATCCCCACTCCATTCCCCAGGGAGGGTAAGGCCCTCCATGAAGGATCTCTAGAGTCTGTCATTTCATTCCAGGAGGGCTTAGGCCCTCCCCCAAGTGTTAAGATTTAGAGAGTATCCCTCATTTTGGGATGGACACCCAAAGTCCATTTGTGTGCCAGGATATATACTGATCTACTACACAAAGCCCCATAGATTGCCTAGGTCTCCTCACTGATACCCACATTCAGGGGTTCTGGATCAGTCCCATGCTGGCCTCTCAGCTATCAGTTTGAGGTACAAGATCTCCCCCTTGTTCAGGTCAACTGTTTCTCTGGGTTTCACCAGCCCAGTCTTGACCCCTTTGCTCATCACTCCTTCCTCTCTGTCACTGGGTTCCAGGAGTTCAGTTCAGTGTTTAGCTGTGGGTGTCTGCCTCTGCTTCCCTCGTCATGATGGAGGCTCTAGGATAGTATAAAAGATAGTGGTCAAACTCATTATCAGGGAGGGGCATTTTAAGGTAGTCTCTCCACCCCAAAGTTATGTAGCTAGTAAAATGTCCAGACCGTCTTCGCCCTCAGTTAACCAGACTGCAGTTTTCTTACAGAGCTTATTATCTAATTGACAATAATTCATTAGGGAAGTTAGGTGGCCAAAAGAGTTCTGATGTCTACAGATTAGTGAGGCTGGAACATAGGAAAATGCTGAGATGTAAGAACATCTATCCATCTTGACTGCATCAAGGATTTGCTGGAAATGTGGAAGCACTGTGGTATTGAATTAGGAAATTCTCACTCTGTCTCTGGAGTCCACATTTGCTGACATCTCAGTCGGTGGCAGTTTACAATATAAAAGCAAAGACAAACATGATGCAGAGTAAAGTTTTTAAGTAGACATTTAATAAAATGAACTTCTCTTGACAGTGACTTTATTGAGCTCAAGCATCATTTGCAATAGCATAAGGGATTTGACTTCCATTTCTGTCCTCTGGCTCCTACAGAGGAGGCCAGAGTAATCCAAACACAGGCAACTACATTCATTTCATTTGTTTTATCATAATCTTGAAAGTAATAAATAGATACTTTCACTCAATATAATTGATTCTGATCTAAAATACACCCAAAGCAGGATTCAAGGAAGCCAGATAAATGGAGCTATTAAGACAAATGAAAGACATAAAATTACATTTCCTGTGAATTAAGATAAATCTGTCAGATGGTAGAAATCATTTCTCTAAATTCAGCATGCCTCCAATGTATAAAAGTTGCAATTGCAATTTTACTATGATGTTCAGAGAAGGATGACTAAAAAACGCTGAATATCTCTCCAGAGAACCCTGAGATCTGCTACTCTCTCCCTCTTAAACAAACTTGGGGAAAAACAAGCTAGAAAGTGAAGGGATGCTGGCAGACAGACACAGGGAAAGACAAGAAATAGGGAGAAGAAGCAGCAGCCTAAAAAATACCTCACAGACTAACTCTGCCACAGTCTCATGGCTGGGGAGGTAAATCTCAGGGTGAGATGATAACTTAAAAGCCATAAGCGACTTCTTTCTGTTTTTACTGCAAAAGGTGAGGCAAGCAACTTACATAGACACCACGGTGTGCCAACACCATGCATAAACCAGGAAGCTAATTTCTTGCATTAGAATGTGCAAAGCATGTCACAATAATTTACGTCCTCTTCTGCAGTCCTAAGACATACATTACTCTAGTCTACTCATCCTCTCTATTCTAAAAGCTGTACAAAGACTCTAATGATTAAAGAGCCTAATGTCTTTGTGAATGATTATATTTATTATTAAACATGATATTTAAATATTAATTTGAAGGTGACATGGAAATATTTTGATATATCTCATGTTTAATGACTTTTTAAAAAATTTGGTGCTGGAGAGATCGCTCAGCAGTTAAGAGTATGTACTGCCCTTTCAGAAAGCCAGAGGTCTGTTGATACAACCTGTAGTAAGCTTTATGGTTGGACTATCTTTGGATCACCAGCTCCCAAATAACAACACAGATACTTACTAATTATAAAGGCTTAGGCTTGCCCCCAACTAGCTCTTATACTTCAAATTAATCTGTTTGCATTAATCTGCGTCCTACCACACAGTTTTTACCTTTCTTCAGTACTGCATGTCTGACTTCCTCCAAGTCTGCTTGTGTCTCCAACTTTCTTCTTCCCAAAGTCCTTTCTGTGCCCTGAAGTCCCACATAACCTCTTCCTGCCTAGCTATTGGCCATTAAGATCTTTATTAAACCAATCACAGAGATACATCTTCACACAGTGTAAAGAAATATTCCAAAACCTTGACCTATATCAAATGGCTTACCACCAGCTGTAACACAGCTCCAGGGACTCTTACACCCTCTTCTGGCCTCTGCTGGCACAACACATACAGATACCCATACACAGAAACACACACACACACATAATTTAACACACAAACAATTTAAAATATAAAAAATACACACACAAACTAAATATTAAAAAATCTTTTTAAAAAGTTTTATCACAGCCTCTGATTGTTCCCTAACAAATTTTCCTTTGGATTCATTGACTTATGTGCATGGGTCTTCTAAATAAAGTACATGATAAATGATTGATAGATAGGTAATAATATAGATAATAGATGTATAATAGATACCATATAAATGATAGACAGATAAATGATAGACATAGCTAGATAAATGATAGCTACAAATAGAGATGGTAGATATAGATAGGTAGATGATAGATGGATACATAGATAGATAGATGGGAATGGCCAGATAGATAGATAGATAGATAGATAGATAGATAGATAGATAGATATGGATGGATAGACAGACAGACTGACAAATAGATAGGGATGGATGATAGACAGACAGATAGATAGATAGACAGACAGACAGACAGACAGACAGACAGACAGACAGACAGATAGATAGATAGATAGGAAGACGATGCAGTTGGAATTAACTGAATAATCATTTCTGCCCCTACAGGAACTGAAGAGGAGGATGAAGGAGATGATTGTCTTTTGGGGTCTGTGGATGAGTTCTGGTGGTTTCCTCACATGTGGAGTCACATGCAGCCCCACCTCTTCCATAATGAATCATCATTAGTGGAGCAGATGATTCTCAACAAAAAATTTGCCTTAGTAAGTAACTCATGCTGACTACTTCACTGAACTCATTTACAGTGGTGAGGGAAGTAGCAAGATGTGGGAATTGGAAACTGCCCCGAGGTTTTGGTGTGCTGGCTTTCCTTATGCAACTTTTCTCAGTCACCATTAGAATCTTGGCATTATGTATATTCCATGCATGGCTTTTGAGTTTGTACTGTGCACTCATCACTGGGTTTAATGCTTTGACAGATCTAATTTAAGAGAGACTTCATAAAACTCAAAGCTCAATCCCATGGCATTATGTTCAGCATTCATAAGAAACATCTCCTATCCAGGAGCTTCCTGGTACACTGCACTGAGAGACAAAATGTACACACAAAGGAAGTCCGTAGCAGAATAAGATATTCTGTGACCAGATGTCATGTTTTAAGAACACAAGCCCCCAGTTCCATGGATAATTGTCATGGAAGTGGGATAGAAAAAGTTGTGGTGGAAATGGGACTCGGTATATCCAGAAATTCAAATAAACTAGGGTATCATGATGGATTGAAATGAGGTTGGGGTAGCAAAACAAATGGGACACCATAAACTATACACAAGTCAAGTCAATAAAGATTCGAGAAAACGGTGAAGAGATACTGCAAACCCAATAGGATAAAGCATCTGCTCATCAGAAGAAAAGTACACTGGCTTTAACTGAATGCCATATGACTTTGGGGCTGAGAAACTTACAGTAAAACTTCTAATAAGTATTGTATGAAGGAAAATACTCTCTTATCAGAGAGGACCCAAATCTGCTTACCTGGAATGGTATTCTACACCAGCTGCAAGAGCCAAAAAGTTTTTACTATCAATACAATGGTCCCTTACTCAAACTTACTCACAACTCAGTTAAAATTGGCAGATTGTGTTTTTGTCTTAAAGATACATAAAATCTAACTCTTTGCAGGGAGCACTGGGGCTCATGTTTGTCTTTAACTGTAATCCCACTTCTCCAAACAGTTTCAAGGGCACCATTCTCATATACTAATATTTTGACAAGAAAGCAAGTGTAGGGCTTTGCAACGCTAATGTAAGGACAGGATTTTGACGTTTGCAAACTTAAGACATGAGAGTTGTTTTTCCTCCTGAAACTATAAATGGTCATGAACATGTAAAATTGAGTAGCCACTCCCTCACATTGTCATAGCATTGAAAGCTATCGGTGTTCTGTCTAGAAGACTGAGATTACCAAACAGCAGTGTTGATCAGTGAGAGGTGGGGTTGACAAAAGATGGCTGCAGTTGCTTCTTAAATCTATAGAGAACAACACAGGGGAATGCGGGAGAAGGAAATGTGAAAACATAGCACAGTGAGCAATGAGGATAGGTATTTGCTCTTACTGTTGCTTTAGTAACCTTTAAAAAGTTAGACTGGTCTTTGAAGCTTAAACAGGTTAAAACATAGCACAGTGAGCAATGAGGATAGGTATTTGCTCTTACTGTTGTTTTAATAACCTTTAAAAAGTTAGACTGGTCTTTGAAGCTTAAACAGATTGGCTGGCAGAGCAGTTGAGAGCACTGGCTGTTCTTCCAGTGGACCAGTAATTTAATCACCAGCATCCAAATGATGGCTCATAGCCATCTGTAATTTCAATTCCAGGGAACCAGAGGCCCTCTTCTGACCTCTGTGGATACCAGGAATGTATGTGATGCACAGACATTCATGCATGACAATACCTACCCTCATAAAATAAAAAAGTAATAATTTGATTTTTAAGGAAACTAGAACAGTATGTACTGACAAGAGGCATCTACTACTACTTGAATTAACCGATGGTTGGCAACACTGTGCTCATAGTCAAAAAAGTGTTATATATTTGAAAGTAAGGAGTAAAAGCAGACCTGTGAGGGAATTTTAAGCATTGTTTACAATTTCATCCTAATTTATAAAAACGATTCAAGATTGAAATCTTGTCATTCTTTTGTTTTATTTTTTTATTTAAATTAGAAGTAATTTTGTTTTACATGTGAAACTCAGTTCCCTCTACTTCCCCTCCTCCCTTGCCCCCCACTGGCCCTCTATCCCCTCTCCTTTCTGCTCCCCAAGGAGGGTGAGGCCTTCCATGGGAATCTTCAAAGTCCGTTATATCATTTGGAGCAGGGCCTATGTCCTTCCCCACGTGTATAGGCTGAGAGAGTGTCCCTCTATGTGGAATGGGCTCCCAAAGTCCACTCATACACTAGGGATAAATACTGATCCACTGCCAGAGGCTCCACAGATTGCAAAGGCCTCCTAACTGACACCCACATTCAGGTGATCTGGACCAGTCCTGTGCTGGTTTTCCAGATATCAGTCTGGGGTCCATGAGCACCAAAGTAATTGTAGCCTCCTAAAAAGAGTTTGGCAATGACCCTTCTGCTTCTATTGCGTGGAACATTTTGAGGAATATTGATATTAGCTGTTCTTTGAAATTCCAGTAGAATTCTGCACTGAAACCATCTGACCCTGAGCTTTTTTTGGATGGGAGACTTTTGATGACTGCTTCTGTTTCATTAGGGGCTATGGGCCTATTTAAATGGCTTATCTCTTCTTGATTGAATTTTGCTAAATGATATCTATCCAGAAAGTTGTCGATTTCCTTTAATTTTTTTTTAATTTTGTGGAGTACAGGTTTTCAAAGTATGACCTGAAGATTGTCTGGATTTCCTCAGTGTCCATTGTTATGTCCCCCTTTTCATTTCTGATTTTGTTAATTTGCATGTTCTCTCCCTGCCTTTTGGATAGTTTGGATAAAGGTTTGTCTATCTTGTTGATTTTCTAGAAGAACCAACTCTTTGCTTCATTGACTCTTTGTATTGTTTTCCTAGTTTCTACTTTATTGATTTCAGTCCTCAATTTGATTATTTCCTGGTGTCTATTCCTCCAGGGTGAGTTTGATTCTTTTTGTTCTAGAGCTTTCAGTTGTGCTGTTAATTCTGTAGTGTGACTATTCTCCAGTTTCTTCATGTGGGTACCTGGTGCTATGAACTTTCCAATTAACGCTAGTTTCCAAGTGTTCCATAAATTTGGGTATGTTGTATCTTAATTTTCAGTAAATTATAGGAAGTCATTAATTTCTTTTTTATTTCTTCCTTGACCCAGGAATGGTGCAATTGTACATTGTTCAATTTCCATGAGTTTGTAGAGTTTATGCAATTTGATTTGTTGTTGAATTCTAACCTTAAAGCTTGGTGGTCTGATAAGATACAGGGGATTATTCCAATTTTTGTACATGTTGTGGTTTTCTAAGTTGTAGAGAATGTGATCAATTTTAGAGACAGGTCCATGTGGTGCTGAGAAGAAGGTATATTCTTTTGTGTTTGGATGGGATGTTCTACAGATGTATGTTAACCCCAATTGTGTCATAACTTCTGTTATTTCATTTGTTTCTTTGTTAAGTTTCTGTCTGGTGGTCCTGTCTAGTGGTGAGAGTCGGATGTTGAAGTCTCCCACTATAAGTGTGTGAGATTTTATGTGTGATGTGAATTTTAGTAATGTTTCTTTTATGGATGTGGATGCTTTTGTATTTGGGACATAGATGTTCAGAATTGAGACTTCATATTGATGGATTTTTCCTGTGATTAATATGAAATGACTTTCTTCATCTCTTTTTATTGAATTTAGTGTGAAGTCTAAATTGTTAAATATTAGGATTGCTACCCCTGTTTGTTTCTTGGGTCCATTTGACTAGAAAATCTTTTCCCAACACTTAACTCTGAGGTACTGTCTGTCTTTGAAACCGAGGTGTTTCTTATCTGAAGCAGAAGGATGGATTCTGGCTTCATATCCATTCTGTTATTGAGTTAAGACCATTAATATTGATGGATATTAATGACTATTGGTTGTTAATTCTTGTTTGTTTTGGATTTCTTGTTGGTGGTGATATTGTGTGTGGATTCCCCCCAACCCTTTTTTTCTTTTGACACTTGGTAAAGTGTGATTATCTATTGCCTATGTTTTTGTGAGTGTAGTTAACTTCCTTGGGTTGGAGTTTTCCTTCCAGAACATTCTGTAGGGCTGGATTTGTGAATATGTATTTATGTATTGTGTAAATTAGATTTTGTCATAGAATATCTTGTTTTCTCCATAGTCAATGAAAGCTTTGCTGGGTATAGTAGTCTGGGCTGGCATCCATGGTCTCTTAATGTTGGTAGAAAATCTATCCAGGACCTTCTGGCTTTCAGAGTTTCCATGGAGAAGTCAGGTGTTATTCTGATAGGTTTGCCTTTGTATGTTACTTGGCCTCTTATCTTTGCTGTTCTTAATATTTTTCTTTATTCTGTATGTTTGGGGTTTTGATTATTATGTTGCAAAGGGACTTTTTGTGGTCCAGTCTATTTGATGTTCTGTAAGCTTCTTGTACTTTCATTAGCATGACTTTCTTTAGGTTGGAAAAGCTTTCTTCTATAAATTTCTGAATATGTTTTCTGCCCCCTTTGAGGTGGGTTTCTTCACCTTCTTCTATTCCTATTACTCTTAGGTTTGGTCTTTTCACAGTGTCCCATATTTCCTGAATATATTGTGTTAGGGATTTGTTGAACATAAGATTTTCTTTGGGCAATGAATCTATTTCTCCTAGTGTTTCTTCAATGTCTGAGATTCTCTTTTCCATCTCTTGTATTCTGTTGGTTTTGCTTGCATCTGTAGTTCCTGATCACTTACCCAGCTATTTCCAGCATTCCCTCAGACTGTGTTGTTTTGTTCAATTGTTTTTATCGTCTCCATTTCAGCTTTAAAGTTTTTCACTGTTTGAAGTGTTTCCTTCACTTGTTAGGTTGTTTTTTTCTTGGCTTTCCTTGTTTTCTGTAAAAGATTTTTTTTATTTCTTGCACTTTTTGGTTTGTCTTTTCCTCCATTTTTTGAATTTTTTGTTGGTTTTCTTTTTCCATTTCTTTAAGGGATTTTCTCATTACCTCTTTGAGAGTCTCCATCATCTTCATAAAGTTGTTTTTAGGATATTCTCTTCTCTTCCTCTGTGTTGTACTGTTCAGGCCTTGCTGATGTGGAGTCCA